TGTTGGAATGTATTATGACATTAAGTTTATACTTTCTTTTTTTCTCTCGTATTTATACACCAGTGGCAATTTGATAATGAGATAATTTCAAACACTTTTAAGGGAAAGCGGTCCAAACCCATTTAAGTTTTGGGGATGTGCCGGGGATTGAACCCGTCCCTCCCGCACCGAAATCCGAGATGCTAACCACTAGGCTAGCAACACAACCATACAGAACTTAATACAGAATGGAAGTTTACTTCATGCTTGTTGCAGTGGTACCTAAAGGCCTACCACTTGTTTTTATTACCCTAAAAATACAAATTACGTCTGCTATGACTTTTTGAAATAACTTATCTTTTACGATTGTGCAACGAAACATGGCGTTTGCGAGTTAGTAGTTTTTTGCAGTTAATACCAACTTAATAACCACGGATCAAAAATTGCAAAGTCATAAAACGCTGTAAGAGTATTTAAAATTATATATTGTAAATCAGTACTTATGTGAAGAAAAGAATCGTTCACACAGGTTTAAAGTAACAATGGAGTACCGTAAAGTAAATCTTAGTTGAAAATGACATCCAACGTGTAGAACTATAACTCGTTATAAGATCGATATACTTGTGTTATAAGGTTCATTCTTATTAAATGAAACTTCATAATCTCATCTTTCCATTAGTGTAAGAGTTATGCAATTTCAACACTATAACTGTGGTTAACCCTCCAAAGGTCCATAGTTTAGGCCTTAATGTCCACCTATTTTTGGCCCCTTTGCAAGGTTTTATTAAAACGGATCTGAGAAGCTTAAAACAATGTTAATTCTAATGTTCTATATATCATTTTGTTTGGAAAATCATGGGCTTCAATATTATATATAAAACATAAGGAACATTTTTTCAAAAAAAAATTTTTAGGTAAAAAAATATAATTTCGAAAATTTTCAAAAAAAAAATAAGTTCGCACTCAATGAAATTGTATAAATTATAGGCCTATAAATATTTGAAAATAGCCACTTTGTTCTATATTTAATGAGGATTACAAATATATAATCATATATCGAGGTAAGTTATCAAATAAATAAGTTATGAGCGAAAAACGGATTTCAGTACATACCTAGCGTTTAGCTAAGAATGCATAGCCTAACCATAGCTAGGAATCTGGCTGATAATTTACATCAATATCACTACGGTACCTACTTCTTCAGGATCATCAACCAGCACTTCAAAACCACTTAAATCTTCTTATAATGCACCACGTATATCACTACTTTTGATTTTTAACACTAAAACAATGATAAACATAATAAAACACATCAGTCATCGGTCCGAGGTTAAGTAACCTGTTTACTAATATGCACGTCAGCTGTCTGCTAACAATTACGATCGGCTCAGAGAACAAACAGCGCTTAGAGACAGACCTTTAGAAAGCTTAGAATCTAATGAAAAGAACGATACCTAACTCGATCCAGTTCAATCCGATTCAGTCAGTCATAGAGCCTTCGCCGTAAACGATGTTTGTGCGTCTTAAACTAGACGCGTGACCCTACACAAAGTGTGTTGTGCGTCTATTTTTTGACGCGTGACCCTCGGAGGGTTAACCTTGCATTTGACATAAAACATGCAACGGAAAAAAACCGTTACGCTAATCAACAAATTTTGTCGCCCGCCACTCCGGCAACACATTTTTACTTAAATCAACATTTTTTGTCGATTCGCCACTCCTGGTTAGGTAAGTTGACTGCCGGACGCCTAGGCTAGGCTCCTAGCCTATCCTCTGCCTTAGGTATTAAGTATAGACCTAACAAACAAGGTAGGCCTATAAAAACAAAAGGTGAAGGCTGTGAATTGGTTTGTTTGGACCATTGGTAGCGAATAAATGAAAACGTAGGCTTAACTTAACCTTAGGCCTAGCCGTACAAATAAGTTAGAGAGCACGGGCTAAGTTATGATGTGACTCACCTGAGGCAACTTCAACAATATTCCTGCGGTCTGAATTAATTCACAGCCTAAAATCCTCAGATCAGTCTCTGTGTCACTATCCAAACCATCGACCTTTGATGGAGTAGGACTTAACTTTTCATCAGGTAAAAGACAATTTGTAAGAGAAAGAACGATCTTTCCGTATGGTTTCGGCGTTGCTTTACTTGAAACATTGTTATTCTCTAACTTCTGTGAACCCATTGACAACAATTTCATTAAAACTAAATTAAATTTGGTTGTAGCTCGCGATTAAATGCCCTAAACAACATGAATCGCACAACCAAACACTAACTAAACTATCTACCCACCAAACCAACAGAAAACAAGATGGCGATCGACAATCGACAAATAACCTAGATGTTTTGTACGTCACTCTTACGTTCATAATTTCCGGGAATTCCAAAAGGAATAAAAAGTTATATCAACTAAATCAGGAAAGAGATCAGATGTGAAAACTATTAGCATTGATTTTCATAAGAAACTATAAAATTGTATGATATGATTAAAATTTACTACTAACTAGCATTGACTATAAGGGAAAAGCCAATAAACGCATTCTTAATCTTAAAAGACCTCTCCCAATCTCCCATAAATTAAGAACAATGTTGGATTTTGTAATTTTGTTCAGGTAATAAAATGGCATAGCTTATAATTGCGAATTTGTTCCATAGCTTATAATTGTGAAAATGTGGCGTAGCTGTAGCTCAAATTTGCTGCAGGCTATAAAATCACTATTAATCTATAGCTTCTAATTTCCAAAACGTGGCATAGCTTTTAATAGGCAAAGCCATGCGACCGAGCTCATCTTAAAAATGAACGAGCATTTGACATAAAACCACATTAGGACAGGACAACGTCTGTCGGGCCAGCTAGTACAATTATAAATTAGAGGTAGTGTCTGTGTGTTTGTATGAGATAAACTAAAAAACTACTGAACCGATTGGACTCAAATTGGACAAAAATAAAGCTACCACTCCGAGGTTGCTTATAGAGCTATTCCCCCTTCGATATTAATAATAAACTTATACCATAGATTAAACGTACATTTTTAACAGTATATACATTTAATTTCCTTTTGTTTGTGATTAAATTACTTAAATTGTGATCTAGTGCTTTCAGACTCTTCAAACCTCAAGACAGTGTGTGCGCGTCCGTGTATTACTTCTAGACTTTCCGTACGTTTTCACCGTGACTTCCGCGTATTAGTGAGCTCTGTGTGTTGTTGAACTTGTTGTTAATTTTTTACTACAACTTTATGTGAAGAGGTGGCTGGGGATTTAAATAACTTTTTTGCAAACGTTGGAAAGGAGCTTGCTGATTCAATTGACACTTCTGATGACCCAGTTTTGAACGACAATTTATTTATTTATTCATACATACGGCAATCGCCATTTTACAAAATATGTTTGATTGGTATACAGAATATTATTATACATTTTTCTTTCAAGCCGCTTACATGCAATAACAATAACATAATAAATAACAATAACAATAACAATGACTTTCGACTGAACTGCACTTTTGACTTACAACCGATCAACGGACTTGACTTGCGACGATACGTTCACGGTTTACGGAGAGGGTCAGCGCCGGGGTGTGATGGTGTCTCGGCCGAAGTCTTGAAAAGCAATTTCAATGTACTATGTGGTGACCCCCTACTTCATATTGTCAACCACAGCATCATTTCTGGAGTTTTCTCTGATTGCTATAAGCTATCAAAAGTATTTCATTTACACAAATCTAACGATTTCATCAATAAAAACAATTATCGCCCTTTATCTCTGCTTAGTGTCTTCACAAAAATAATCGAAAAAATAGTGAAGGATAAAATGGTTTCCTATCTTCAAACTAATGAAATCCTCAGCGAGCGTTAGTATGGGTTTCGTAGGGATAAAAATATTTCAGATGTTTTGTTCGATATAAATAAAGAACTTAATCGTGCTATCTCTAAAAATCACCCAATGTTAATATTTCTTGACCTTAAAAAAGCTTTTGTATCTGTTGATCGTGCAAAATTATTAATTAAAATGGAATTATTGGGAATAAGAGGCACCACTCTTAACTGGTTTAAAAGTTATCTTTCTAGCAGAACAGGGTATGTTTCTATATGTGGTGTGAATAGCAGTAGAATGCCTGTAGACTACGGGGTGGTCCAAAGTTCAACTCTCGGGCCAATTTTATTCTTATTGTATATAAATAACATTTCAAAATTACCCATTTTTGGTCAAACGTTTTTATTTGCTGACGATACCTTAATTTTCCTGCAGGGAAAGACTTGGCCCGAGGTACGAGATAGAGATAAGGCTATGCATGATCTTATGATTGCAAAACGATGGTTGAATAAAAACATTCTTTCGCTAAATGTATCTAAGATCTAAAAATCCGGCCCGTACACCATCAGCTATCTAAACGCTAGTTATGTGGACAGGGGGCAAATTTCCGGTTTTTATTGCTAATCTAATTAATCACGCTCTGTCTATTTTCATTAGACTTCAAAATCCGCGGGGGTAAAATTCCGCCCGCGATCAAACTTTTGAGCGCTCAGGACGTCATAGTGACGTCAGCTTTGCCCAGGGGGTAAAATTTGGTAAAATTCCAGGAAGATAAAATTCCGGTGACACATTTTTAGCTACAGTCATAGACTAACCAACACAGTCAATGCAAATTTACTGATTAAGTTTATGACTTTTATTATGCACTTGCTATATATTATTTTCCTAATCATAGCCTACTATCTCGCGACTATACTCTATGCTTGATTATGGCGCCTAAATACAGATTGATAATTTTAATTTTATTTTAGGTTTTAGGTTAATTCAATTCAATTCAATCATAGATAAAACATGTGTTGCTTAGTCTATGATTCAATTCAGACTCAACTCAATCAAAATCAAAATCAAAGTGAATGAGTGAAGTGAGTGTAAGTAAACTTAATAAAAATAAAGTCCAACTAAGAACTTAACTAATTTAAGCGTCCGCTAATCCGCTTGAAAAGTAAAATAAATGTAGCATGTATTCTTATAGCGAAGGTTCTAGGTTTTGCACAAATTAAATGTTTTTATTTTTAAAGTAGCCTAGGCTACTCTAAATTTTTATTGAAAAAATAAGTTACTGTATGTCAACTTAGGCCTACACCTAAGAAGTACGTAGGTAGGTTTAGTTTTACAAAACTACAATATTGAACCTTGTAATATACCATACCATCCCACTTAAGATAAAATAATTGGTTATTTCACTAAAAATAACGTTTGTTGAACATCAAACTGAAATAGGCTAGCCTATTTGAACAGTCTGAAACCCCTAATCATTCTTAAAATAGGCTAGGTAGGCCTACCATATGAATTTATTTTCTGTTTTTTTCTAGATCAAATAAAAATGTGGAAGGAAGTTAATGTTGGCTTCAACCTTGAAGAAGAAACTGCAAATTTCGGTACAAGGGCTTGCGCCATTAATGATGTTGCTGTTTATGAAACAAACACACTTGCAGCCATTCATGCTGGAGACGAGGTAAATGTTGGAGTCATTTTAGTTAATTTATTGCTGGACTTTGCAGCAATGCATCTACCCGGACTGATTGTAAACTTACTGTGGGCTCTTCACCACATGAACACTAGTGATGTGACGAGTCGAGTATTTTCTTGACTCGAGTCACGACTATGTCAACTCAAGTTGCAACTCGAGTCAGACTCAACTCGGTATCATTGTGAAACTTCGGCTTCCATCGGTCGAGTTCGGGTCGAGACTCGCAGCGCAGCCAATAGGGTTATAATTTGGCGAGTCGGCTGAACTCACATTCAGCCAATAGCGTTTACGTTTCGCGAGTCAACTCGTTACGTCCCGAGTTCGTAAAGGTTCGGCTTTCTCCGTATGAGTTCGGTTTCTTGACTCGCTTTGAGGCTGTGAGCCAATAGCGTTTAAGTTTTGTGAGTCTGACTCGTTACGTTTCGAGTTTGTGTAGCTTCGGCAATCTCTGTACGAGTTCGTACCATCTCGAGTTGTGAAGGAGATGACTCGACTCGGGTCTTGACTCGAGTCAACTCGACTCGCCAACTCAACTCGTCACATCACTAATGAACACAGAAGTAGAAAAGGTAGGTAATGTAGGCCTAACTTATGAAAAAAAGCCATGTGCTTTGATATCCACACACGTTTATAAATTAGGCTACCACTGAGGGTTCAGGTAAGTTTACCACACCACATTTATCTCAGGTAAGTTTAGGCCTACTATTAATTATTGAGAATGAAAAACACAACCTATACCTAACACTATTATTAGGTAAGTTTTTTTATACCGGTAATCATAAAGTACCGTAGCCTATAACTTAGGCCTAACAGTTGTAGGCCTAGTTATGGTCATTCTTTAAATTTTTGATTTAACGTTTTACAGTCACCTACCTCAAAGTAGAAGTGTTTGCAATAAAGTCCAATTTTGCAGCATTAGCCACAATGCAATATTTTGTAGCACAGTTAGAATTGAGAGAAGTTAGGCCTACTATTTGTCACCTTTGAACAATATTCTTCATCATAAAAGTATACAGACATTAGTGCTCCCGTTGAACGAAAGAGAAAATTCAAGTTGTTTGGAACAGGAAATAGCTATTTGTGTATCAAGAGCGCAAAGTACGTCTCGAAATTTCTCAAGCCGCAATAACTGTTTGTGCTCGTATTACAAACAAGATTTTTCCTACCATCATAACACCCTCATCATACCACACAGATTAACTTTTTAGCTTTATATAAAATGTCATTTAGATTATGTTCTTTTCTTACCGGTTCTTAACATACCTGATCAGCAACTGTGGTTGGTGTTGAAACGCCAACAGTAAAATCAGCTGATTAGCTAGCGGGAATGATAAGTTACATTCCCTTTGTGGTGCGATTATGAGCTATTCTGCATCATACTGTTTACAACAGGTGTGGCAATTGTGATCATTTCCATGTAGTGGTAGGCAATAATGTTTAAGATATTTAAATTGGAAATTGACAGTTTTCGTAATGTTCAACTGTGTGGAAATAAGCTTGTACATGGTCGCCCAAGTAAAGTATGTTCATACTGTACAGAGTGATGAAAAAATCGTTACCTTTATCTACGACAAAAGGATAAAACCAAATGAGAACATAACTGTTGATATTTTTCGTCCTAGTTATACGGGAAGTAAATAAAAGAAACGTCTTATATCACTTAAAAAGTGTTAACTTTTTTCAGTGTTAGGGAAGACGTTTCTTTTATTTACTTTCCGTAAATTTAATAACCTGTACAATGCTGATCAAGAAGTTGTCCTAGTTATACTAACACTTTTCCTAATTTTGTAAATGTAACAAACTTTGGACTTTTTGACTACCGGTATTCAGTTATTAATGTTAGCCTATAGATTTTTCTTCTATGTATTCCATCCTGTTATTCATGTTTTGATTTCCAAAATTATTTTGTAAAAAATATGTTTTAAAGATTACAACATCACGGTTACAAAAACAAAATAAGAAATTAGTGACAAAGATCTGGACTACAGTACCTTAAGTAACAGTATAAAAGCCTTCATGCATTGAAACAATATTTTTATACGATACATAGGCCTAAACTTAATTGATTTCTGATGTTTGTACAGCCCAAGCATTTGCCGAGAGTGAAGGCCCAGTTTGCTCCTCACATTGGTTTGTGCGTGGTTGTGGATACAGCAGTTCACGTGTTCAAACCAGATTGCAGCTCTGTTCTCTGTTCTGTTCTGTGTGACAATCAGATTGAAGCCTTTGCTGTGTCTCCTTGCGGCAGATTCCTCATTCTAGGAGTAAAGAACAAATTGATTTTCTACCACATTCAAAAAAAGGATCAAGTCTTTGAAAGGTCAGTGTCCTTACAAGTTATTCTTCTTGGGTAGGTGAGAGTGACTAGCTTCATAAGAGTGACTTGCTTAATAAGAGTGACTATCTTAATAAGAGTGACTTGCTTAATAAGAGTGATTAGCTTAATAACAGTGACTAGCTTAATAACAGTGACTGGCTGGATAGCTGAGTGGTTATAGTGCTTGCCTGGCAATCAAATGGTCGCCGGTTCGATCCTGAGTCAGTAGCTTTTTGATGGTTCGAAACTTGACCCAGCTGATCCTGATCATTGGGCTTTAGGCTAATGAAAAGCTTATCTTAGTCAGTAACAAAGCTATATTACAGATCATCTCACACCATTCTACAATCATCCTTCAATCATATTTGGGTTAAAATATGCACCTAGGTGGCGTCCCCATCTCAATGATTGATATTGATAGGCCTATTGTTTCTACATTAAGTTAATATAATATTGCCAAATTTTCTGTAGTTACTTTGAAAATAAATCCTTTCTTAACTGTTGTGCTGAACTCAGACTGACATCCTTCCTAGCTTGGGAACGTACCATACATTCTCTAAAGTTGTGATATATCGGTTCTTACCAATATCTCACTTACCGTACTCGAATACTTCCCTCCCCAACTGCCTCAATATCTTCACCGTTACCCACAGTGGCGTTAATTGGTGAAGCAAACCTCTGATATGTGTGAATGAAAGTCTCTCCGGAAACACATATGCTGCAATGCTCCAGAGTCTGCAATAAAGTTGTCTTTCCTGTGCTCCTTTGCTATAAAACACAAGAATGGACCACTGTTAACTTTTCTGGGCTCAGTCTTATTCTGATTTCTTTGGACACTGACTCGGACTCGCATAGTGTGGTCCCTTACAATTAAAACACTTGATTTTCTTCTTTACCGAATACTTTTTGCCTTCTGACAATGAACTTGTGCTATTTCTCTAACCTGCAAGGTTTGTCCATTATCGGAATTCATAGACCTAGGTAGCCTGGACTCAATCCAAGACGAGTACTCTATTAGCAAATCAACACTTCTATCTATAACCGGTGTGCTCTCCCACACAACTCAAAGAATTCTTTAGGTGTTGTACTCATAATCCTTGACATCAACACAAGTCCTGGAAGTTCTGAAGCTTTATGCTTTTTAAGTTCATCATTCTCTTCACTGAAGTTTAACTGCAATCTTGAGATATATTTGATCAAATCTTCTCCATCAGTTATACTAGATGTAAAGAACTGTTCCATCGTTCTATCTAGTCTCTGACTTAATGAGACATATATACTCAATAGCTTCTGTCACATTGCATGTGCACTTTCAAAAGTAGCTGTTAATTCTACATGTGAATCGTCTAGAGCATTTACAATAAGTACCTGAGCTAAAGGTGTCATCTTTCTTAAAATCTTTAAGCTTCTACTTCTCTGTTTCTACAGGTTTTGTCTTTTCACCAGTAACCAGATCTTTAATTCCTGATGTCTCAAAACTAATTCAATCGGGCATTTCCACCTTCTCCATGATTGAGAATTGCTTAGTTTTTCAACATTCACTCTTAAATCCATTCTTTTTAATATTTTCTGCAGCCCATAATCAAATAAAAACAATAAAAGTTGGATAAAAGAAATTAGTTTATTACTTTATTATTCAATAATAAACAACACATGTTTTTAAAGAACATTAATACCATCTCACAGGTTTCAAATTATTTTTCAATTAAAGTGGTAAATAAAAATAATGTTTGTTGTTCCAGGCAAATCACGAACAATGAATTTGGGCCAAACTTTGTTACTATTTCATGTTGTGGAAGTAACGAATCAGGGTTCATCATTGTAACAACATCAAATGGAAAGATTTACAGGTAGGCATTATGTTTGTGCAAGCTTTACTGTATTGTTTTAAGTTGCTTGCTTCCATTTATTTAATCATGCAGAGAAATTAGGAGAAGTCAACATTTTCCATTTTAAATACTAAGCTTATTTGAATAGGCTTCAAGAAAATTTATGATCTTCCCATTCTTAAGACACAAGATTGGATACAATAAAACGCTTATTATTTATCATTGACTTGAAATGTAATGTTGTCCTTTTATCAAGTCTGTAATAAAAATATATACAGTATTCGGTTTTTAGTCAGTTTTTTATGTCTTAGCGAATTTCCCATAGCCTATAGGGAATAAGCTATTACCCTAGTACTCATGGTAAGACATGGACCCGGGACGGATTTAACCCTCCGAGCGTCCATCGTCGAAAAATCGACGCGCTACACACTTTGTGTAGTGTCACGCGTCGATTTTTCGACGTGCGAACATCGTTTACGGCGAAGGCTCTATGACTGACTGAATCGGATTGAACTGGATCGAGTTAGGTATCGTTCTTTTCGTTATATTCTAAGCTTTCTCCAGAGGTCTGTCTCAGCGCTGTATGTTCTCCGAGCCGATCGTAATTGTAGCAGACAGCTGACGTGCGTATTTGTAAATAGCTAGGTTACCCTCGGACCGATGACTGATGTGTTTTATTACGTTTATCATTGTTTTAGTGTTAAAAATCAAAAGTAATGATATACGTGGTGCATTATAAGAAGATTTAAGTGATTTTGAAGGGCTGGTTGATGATCCTAAAGAAGTAGGTAGTGATATTGATGTAAATTATCAGCCAGATTCCTAGCTATGGTTAGGCTACCGGTATGCATTCTTAGCTAAACGCTATGTACTGAAATCTGTTTTTTGCCCATAACTTATTTATTTGCAAATCTACTTCCTTACATTATTATATATTTGTAATCCTCAAAAAATTTCGAACAAAGTGGCTATTTTCAAATATTTATAGGCCTATAATTTATACAATTTCATTGAGCGCAAACTTATTTTTTTTTTGAAAATTTTCCAAAATTTTTTTACCTAAAAATTTTTTTGAAACAAATGTTCCTTATGTTTTATGTATAATATTGAAGCCCATGATTTTCCAAACAAAATGGTATATAGAACAGTAGAATTAACATTGTTTTAAGCTTCTCAGATCGGTTTTAATAAAACCTTGCAAATGCGCCAAAAATAGGCGGACATTAAGGTCTAAACTATGGACACTCGGAGGGTTAATTTTTCATTTTGAGGTCCCTAGAGGCCAAAAACACCATCCGTTCAAATTCATATATATATATATATATATATATATGTATTTATATATAGGCCTATATACAGGGTGATTACCGAGAAACGCATGTTTTTCAAATAACGAGTACTCAGGTAATTCAGAGCAAAAAATGTATTTATGAGTGGAAACACAGTGTACACAATATGCAATTTCAGAATAAATTAATTGCAATTTAGCATTTAAAAATTACATTTCTAACGTGGTGGTTACAGAACATTGATAATTTTACGGGTCGCCTTCTGCTTTGATACAGCGTTGAAGCATCCGATTTTGATGAAATTTTATACAAACGCGTAAACCTACGTTTATTCAAACGAGTTCGCGATCCAGCAAAATCGGACCATGGGAACGGGGGTTTATGGGGGGTTTTATGGGGTAAAAATGTTGACCCTAAAAACAAAAATTTTGCAATTTCTTTTTAAACCGTTTTGTAGAGTTTAAAAAAAGAAATAATTTAGTATATTGAAGCCCGCTGTTGTATGCATAACGGTCACGGAGAAAATTCAAAAATAGTGTAATTTAAAATTCCAATGTTATTCTTATGGAGAAAATGAAAATTGTTGTAGCCTAGTTTACTTGTTTATGGATATATATTGATAAAATTTGGCAAATTTATTTATTTCATCCTTTACTATTGACGTATGGTCAAAAAAACACTTTTTACCTTCCCGGTAGCCAGCAAACCTAAGCACTCGTTAAATCTAATGTTATTTAAATAGGGAATAAATATGTATTATTTATGAAAATATTTAAGTAAAAATGTAATCAGACAAGTTGAAATTCGCTTAGTCTGCAGGATAGGATTTGGGCCAACAACGTCATTGGTTTATGTTTATGATCCATACTGGGGTTTATTTTTGAGTAGACCTAATGTTTTTTAAACAAACAAATCTAAATTTCTTGAGAGAGGTTATTTTTCCATCATCGCAAGACCTAGCCACAACTATCCTAGTTAAGTAGTTTTAACCTAATCTTAATAAGATTAAATAATTTTTTCATGTTCTTAGCAAGCTTGCTACTTGTACTTTGTCAAATAGTAATTGGGAGTTTGCAGCTCTTATGATGTTAATTTTTATTCATATTGTTGGTTTTATAATGTAACCAGTAAAATATTATGGTAGGCCTAGTTTAGTTTGTCAAAACGCTTTTAAAATTGGCCAATAGTAATAAGGTGTGTGTAAGATAACACAGAAGGTAAGAGGATACAATTTAAATACTTTTTCTTTTGTTACATAAGGCTTTTCCCTTTTCATTTATTTATTTATTTATTTATTTTCCAATAATCACATAACATCATATTCAGACAGGTGATTCGTCATTGTTACAATATTTTATAGTCTCTATTATACTAAAATTATTACTAAAATAAATTTCATTGCTGAGCCTTAACATCTACATAGCTTCCATATATTCCTCCAATGAGAAGAAGGCCTTCTCCAAAAGAAAGTTTTTTAACTTCTTTTTGAATTTAGGGAATGAATCAGTGTCCCTAATTGAAGAAGGTAATTTGTTATATATTTTTGGGCCCATGTACTGAGGAGATAAATGGAATACTTTAAGTCTGTGTTGAACTGGTTTTATATTGTTTTTAAATCTAGTGTTGTGAGGATGGGCATGTTGATCTTCCATGAATGTGTCAAAATCACTTTTAACCATTAAAGCTAGTTTAAAGATATAAGAACTATACAAAGTAAGAATTTTAAACTGAATGAAAAACTCTTTACTGTGAGTAATTCGAGACACTTTCGCTAAGACTCTAACTGCTCTTTTTTGGAGGATAAAAATTTGTTCGGCATGACTAGAAGAACCCCATACCGTTAAACCGTAATTCATAATGGAAGAAAAATAAGCGTGGTATACTGCTAATTGTGTGTCTAAATTTGTAGTATGTCGAATTACCCGAAGAACAAGTATAGCTGATCTGAGTCTCTTTGATAGATTCTTAATGTTTGTTTGCCAATTAAGTTGCCAATCTATATCAATTCCAAGGTAATTAACTGAGTTTTGAGAATATATTGATGTTTGGTTTGAATTTAAAACAATGTCTCTATTCTCATTAGCAACTGAAAAGTGAATTAGTTGTGTCTTTGACACATTCATAGATAGACCATTTACTGTGAACCAGTCCCCGAGGAGTTGAAACTCATTAGTAATTAAGTCTTGCTCAAAATCCAATGTTTTTTGTTCGGTGCAGATTAAAGCAGTATCATCTGCATATTGAAAAGTATGCATTTTTGTAACATTACATAAATCATTTACATAAATTAAAAATAAACAAGGTCCAAGAATGGAACCTTGAGGAACTCCGTAGGGTGTGTAACCCCACTCTGACTTATATTTGGTTTGGCATTTCTGTAATATAATTCTTTGTTTACGGCTTTTTAAATATGAAATGAACCATTTTAATTCCACATTTTTTATTCCATGTCTACTTAATTTTTCTAGCAATATATCATGATCAACACAGTCAAAAGCCTTGGACAGGTCACACAGCACACCTATTGTGCGCTGCGACCCGTCCAAGGCCTCCGCAATGCAGTTAATCATCCTGGTAATAGCCTTTTCAGTACTGGATTTTGAGCGGAAACCAAACTGAGATGGATTTAGTAAATTATTTTGTTCCAAATAATCTGTAAGTTGAGTTTTCACAATTTTTTCAAAAACTTTGGAAAAACAGGGCAAAAGAGCAACTGGTCGGTAGTCAGAAGGATTGTTAACATCACCCTTTTTAAAAAGAGGTTTTATCTCTGCATATTTAAGTTTTTCAGGGAAAATTCCTTCCTCAAGGGACTGATTCACTAGTGTGCAGAGAGGTTGTTCAATAATTTTAAAAACTCTACTAATAACAAAGAGGGGAATTTTGTCCCAACCTGAAGATTTAGTATTGCTAAGACTGGTAAAAACTTTTCTTAGATCCTGAACTGAAATTTTCCTAAATTTAAATTGTAAAGCAGAATTTTGAAGTCTAATTAAATGTTGACTATTGTTTAGTAGCTGAATGGATTTATCTTTATCTGTCATTTGGTTAGCAATTTGTGAAACATTTATAAAAAAATTGTTAAATTTATTTGCTATTGCCAATGCACTACCATATTGGTCGTTTCCATCATTCAATTGGATCTCAACCGGTATGTCCGAGTTTTTTCTATTTAATCCAATTTCTTGTTTTACGACTGACCAAGATGCTTTACTTTTATTTTTGGACCTTTTAATAAAATCATCATTTGCCTTTAATTTAGCTAATGCAACGACTTTTTTGAAAGTTTTCCTGTAATTGTTGTAGTAAGTTAAAAATTGTGGGTTTCTATTCCATTTAGATTCCTGGTGCAATTTTCTTTTATTTTCTGCTGAAATTTTGATTCCTAAAGTAATCCAATTTTTCCTTTTTTGTGTTTTATTTGATCTTGAATTAACTGTTTTTGGAAAAACCTCATTAAATAAATTTAGAAATGTATTAAGAAAGTTGTTGTAGTTTGTATTTACATTTGGTGTGTTAATATCATAATGTGCATTCTTTAAAGCCATTTCGAAAGTTTTTAAATTTTGTTCTGTAAATTTACGAGTTAGTTCTTTGTTTTTACATCTAAGTATTGGAGAAGACCTTTTCTCAAATGACAATATCAATACTTTATGGTCTGATGTCATAGTTTTATTGTGGCTCTTCATGCTTTATTTTTATTAATTTGTTTTGATGTTTATTCTATTTATTTTCCGACGCAAGTATTTAAATGTAAAACATTTCCCATTGCCTAATGTGTTTTGTTTTTCCAGATCAACAGAAACATATTTTTCAAAACTGCATGAAGCATTTTCTAATGGAAATGGTTCTATGGAGGATTTCACAAAAGATGTGTTATTTTCTGAAGTGTATCAAGTCCAAAATTTGAGGTCAAAGGTGAGATTTTAAAATGATTGATTTATTATTCAAGAAATATGGTTTTAACTTATAGTACCGGCTGGAACTGATCACAAAAAGGTACGTCTTAGGTTCCAAAGATTTCTATGACAATTTTCTAGAAAGTGATTTAAAAAAACTACCTACTGTGATTTAATATGTCAATATTACCTACACAACAACATGGGCTAGAACTTTTGTCAATGGACATAAACATAATACTATTATTTAGGTTAGGGTTTTTTTAATTTTTAACAACTTTGTAATTTACACTTACAAAAAGATATTTTCTTTTATAGATTATCGTCTCTTTTAAATTTTGTGTAAATAACAAAATTCCTAATTTTCCCATCTAAAATGCTTGTTATTTGGGTTAAAATCTAAATTAATTGTGGCCTTTAGTGTTAAACCCAAATAACATGCATTTGATATAGGAAAATTAGGTTTTTGTTGTTTTGAATCCTGGAGGCTAGATTCAAATTGTGGCAACCGCTAATTACTTTTATGATAAGAAACAGACACAGTGCTTCAGTCCTCCTTAAATAAAAGGTATATACTGCCGTAGAAAAGAAGTAATAGTATATATTTTATAGGAGAAGAGTACTTTTTCAGTATTGGAAAATTTTATTAGTTAATAAAACCATATACTGTATACTCTTATTATACACTTGTTTATCAACTGTTTATTAGCTTAGGTTAAGGATAGAATGTCATGAAAAACTCAAATTTTCAGGTCCTGATGGGAACAAATTTATCAAAAGATAAGGCCATGATCTTAGGATCTTTACAACAAATGTGTTTCTTCACTACAGAAAACTATGATTCAGCAATTTGTGAATTGTTTGATGACTATAAAGTTGTCAAATTTGGAGGCGTTTTTAATGACAGGTAATTAAATTACTAAATAAAAACATTTTTCCAATAGATTACATTTAGACTACTGTCTGTATGTACACAAGATATTTTATTTTCACCCCTGATAAAAAATTAATAATCATATATCACACCGCAGTTTGGATTAGTAAATGCTAAACTACATTATTTTTTTTATGAATTTATGAATTAAAAGTCAATGAATAGTCATTTATTCAGTCTTACCAAAAGTAGACATTTAATATAATACAATATTCTAATTGAAGTCATTATCACAGAAAAAATACCATGAACTAAATTACTTAGACTAAACTTGAACTTGAAAAAATATTCATATTATTATTATAGATTTATTTTTAGATTCATTATTATTAATATTGATTATATACTGTAGTAGTTGTAGTATTGTAATATATTTTTTGTCTACCATTTAATTGTGTGGCCATAACTAAAAAATCTATATAAATACATTGTCAAACATATATTTCTTGTGCACACAGCTAAAAATTCCTCACAGCTGCTAAAGATGAATTTAAAGTTATTAAAAAAAAGGCTTGTGATGTCAGACTTAAAAGAAAAATGTTCGGTTAAGTAGTCTGTGCCACTTGAAAGATTATTGTGGACATTTTACACAATGAACACAAACCTGACAAGTTAGCTAAATGCTTATGAAAAACAGTCAGGCTGGATTTTGCTGCCAAAACTAGCTTTGTGCTTTGCTAATAAACACACTCTGATTTTCACCAAGTTGCGCAGCAGCGGCCGTGTGGACCTACAAGGGATAAAGCATCAACATACAGTATATTGCTGTTGGTCACACTGACAACAGGGATATTAGCGTCTCTCCCACTCTGGGAACTTGCCAAAATTCAAATAAATCCAGACTGAAGTGGCCATTTTGCTTCTTATTAAGCTCATCGCACACTACAGCCAAACGCGCCGCGCCGGGCCGCACCGCCCTATGGAAACTTCCGCTGTGAGGACGCTCATACTGGCCGCCGTCACCGCCGTCCCTCACCGCACCTCACCGGCAGTGGGGCAGTGCCTGTAGTTCTGTGCAGTCGTGTGTCTAGTTTATGTGTTGTCAAGTGTAGATTTTTGGTTATTTTCCAAGATTAGCAGCTCTGAGGACGAAGATATGTTTTTATTTTGCCTACTGGAATCAGAAGAGGCAAAAAACTACGTGGGTCCATCCCATAAACGAGAAGAGGAAAACATATGGGGAATTTCACCACCTTTTCCCCGATTTGCTGAAAGACAAACTAAGATTTTTCCAATATTTCAGAATGTCCCTCGAAAAGTTGTATGAACTACTTGACATGCTCAGACCTTGAAAAACAAGACACAACTACTGGACCGAGGTAGTACGAAGACATGCGAAGGTGGCCGTGGTCAGAAATCGGTTCCGTTGCCTATCGCACACTACAGCGCGCCGCGCCGCCTTCAGCAGAACAATTCCACGCGACTTCTCCCGAGAGTTCTGGCAACGGAATTATTCCGAGGCGGACACGGCTGCGCGGCGCGGCGCGCTCAAGTGTGCGCACTCTCATTGATTCCCATGCAAACTATTCGGCCGGAATTATTTCACGGCGGTTCGGCGCGGCGCGGGGCGGCGCGTCTGGCTGTAGTGTGCGATCTGCTTAAGGTTTGTGTTCATTGTTTTCCATCAAGATTATATTCAAAAACATGTTTTCACAACGTTGTGAAATCTGAATGAGGACGTACCTCAATCTTATACATTTTTAGTACACAAACCCAGTCAAAGCTTGAAATTGCAAAAGGAAAAACAAATAGAACAAGAAAGAGTTCCTTAAGGAATAGAACAAATGGGGGATAGGCGAACACAATGGACATGTCTCGTCAAGATCGTTTTCTCATTGAGAATGGAATCAGATTCAAATCCTGAAATATAAACATTTTTACCGTCACCAAAAATAGATAAGTTATTTTTTTTTTGTCCTTAAACTGAAAGTCAAAAAGTATCAACTCGTATAAAAACATATCTGGTATGAAAATTTGGCAAAGTATTATATGCAAGTACTGATCACAACTTACAGTGGATTAACTAGCTGTTTTTTCAGTGTATTGTTTGCGCTGTGTGAGTCCGGTTACATCATACAAGTTTGTTTACACACTCTCACTCCTGTGGCGCTGTTCTCCCAGTTTCCTGTAGGAGACTTTGTAGTCTTGGAGGGCAGCGGAGATAGTTCAGAAGAGTGCAGTCTAATGGCGTTGGTCCATCGTCCGGAACACGCCATAGTGTTGATATCGTGGCCAGGTTTGTGACAAGTTCATGTGAGTGTGTTGATGAGTCTTAGGACTTTAGATGGATTGGTTGGATTCCTAGCATATATTCACAAAAATCTATATATTTAAAAAGGCGATTCTTCTATAGAAGTGCCACTGGCACAGATTATAACAAAAATTAAATTGCCTTAAGAGTCACAGTTTCAGTCACAGGTCTCACTGAGTCACTGATAAGTCAGTAAGTTAAAACAAATAAAGTCTAGGTAACCAGCTCTGTCATTACTGACTATCCTTTAGCATTATGACTGGATTATGAGATCTGTTATTGAGTGAGCGTTTAGTGAGCAATGAGAAAAAACTGCTACACCAAATCTAGACTTGATCTAGTCACTGACATGCCATTCCATTTTTGTGAAAACAAGTCTAGCAACTAAAGGTGTTTTAAGTTCTGGCTAGATCATTGTATAATTTACCAAACAACCCTCCTATTAGACCCCGCATCAAACTCGTCCAGCCCAACAGTGTGCCTAAGCTGTGTTTACTTTAAATCCACCAAATTTAATAAAAATACTAGTTAAAAAATTTGTTTTATAAGAAAATTTTTTTTAGCACTATACAAAATAACAGTTATGTAGGTGTAGGAAGTGAAAGAAAATGTTGATTAATCAATGATTTATGGATTTTTTTTATTTTCCCTATTGAAGAATGTACATTTTTAAAGGGGTTTTAGAGCAAAACACAATTGAATAATCACAAATAACTGGTTAACACCCTGAGACAAAAAATGGGCTTTGAGTTAGGTTTCTCATAAAAGATGTACACACAATTATACTCAAGTATTATCTTGTTTTTTAACCCACAACCCAAATTAAAAGTACTGCAAGACATGTTTTAATGACAAAACAACCTTGTATTTTGGTATCCCTGTGTTCTTTACTTCTTTGCCGATCACTTGATATGTAGTACATACCTACTTGATATTCAGTAGAACATACGTAAATCAACACGTTATCTGTATAAGATAGAGTTTTAGCGCATAAAAAGATTCAATGGATCGCCATAAGCGTACAGACTTAGCCAGTTTTACCCTCAACATTGATGAAAATCTGAATTTTAATTGATTATTCTGAATTGTATCAAAGTAGAGAAAAAACATTTTTCTTTTCCCTTCAATTTGACGTTTAAATCATTTAATTATCTTAATTATCTTTAATTATCTTATCTTAATAGACCCCGAGCAACGACCTTTTAAAACCCTGGCATTCTTTTATAAACACCCTATATATATTTTTGTTATTCCAATAAATGAATTCCCTCTGGAATAACTTTCAATAGACTATTTAATATAAGTAAATGTTGATTCCATTTTGATAATTACAAACTTGATTTATTGTAAACGTCATTTAATTTTTGCTTATAAACTTGTGTTACAGAGTGGAAGGTAAAATTCAGAATGCCGGTACAAGAAATAAGTTTTTTGATTGACCAAAAAGAGGCAGAAGACATTCTTTTCTTGGAAGGCTTTGGAAGTGGTCTAATTGATACCATAAGGATAAAGACCATTTTTGAAAGTTTACCAGACCTGCGGTGAGTTATATTTGTTGATTGTTGTTTTATGTAGTCTAGATTTAAAATTTCAATAGAAAAACATCTTTCAAGTTTTCAACTCTAGCCTACTTGATATTTTTACTGTCCTCTACAGCATTGAATTATAGCTTGAGTGTAAATATGTATTGCATTTCATTGTCATAGGCATTGTTAAAACATATGAATTTTTTGTTTGTTTGGATATAAATAAAATAGTATTTCAAATTATCAATCACTCGAATAACATTTGGTTGAGTTTTTATTAGTGATGGGCGGATCCAAGAAAATGTCGGTACCGGATCCGGATCCGGATCTTGAAAAATTCGGATCCGGATCTTGAAAAATTCGGATCCGGATCTTCGGATCCGGATCCAGATACACACTGTCATTTCATTTCAAACAATCTTTATTCTTTTAGTACATATTTACATAGTACATTGAACAGTGTGTGTGTATAAGTCATAAGGGCGGGTAAAAAAAAAACATAATTAACAGAATGCCAATTTAAATCATACTTTTATTATTTTTATCACGAAGCATCGGGTGAGATTAAAATACTACCGGGATATTTTTGAGACAAAATTATAGGCCGTTAGCTTATCATCTAGGTACAAAACTAAAAACTAGAGGTGTGAAGATATCCGAAAAATCGGGTCGGATTCAGTTTGGAAAGATACATGCCATTGCCATATATGTTATTTATTTGTATCAAGAGACAAACACTGAAACATGACCTTGCCATATAAGTTATTTGAATTAAGAGACAAACACTGAGACATGGCCTTGCCATATAAGTTATTTGCATCAAAAGACAAACACTGAGTCATAACCTTGCCATATAAGTTATTTGCATCAAGAGACAAATACTGAGTCATGGCCTTGCCATATAAGTTATTTGCATCAAAAGACAAACACTGAGTCATGGCCTTGCCATATAAGTTATTTGCATCAAAAGACAAACACTGAGACATGGCCTTGCCATATAAGTTATTTGCATTAAGAGACAAACGCTGAGACATGGCCTTGCCATATAAGTTATTTGCATCAAGAGGCAAACACTGAGACATGGCCTTGCCATACAAGTTATTTGCATCTAGATACAAACATCGAGACATGGCCTTGCCATATAAGTTGTTTGCATCAAGAGACAAACACTGGGGGAAAAAACGGTCTTGTACATGGATACAGACAGCTTTGTGTTAGTAAAAAAATCAGGGAAAAATCGGTGTTGTACAGTGATACAGACAGCTTTGTGTTAGTAAAAAAATCGGTGTTGTACATTGATACAGACAGCTTTGTGTTTAGTAATCAAATCGGTGTTGCACAGTGATACAGACAGCTTTTTGTCTTAGTAAAAAATCGGGGTTGTACAGTGAGTGACACAGACAGCTTTGTGTTAGTTAAAAAAATCGGTGTTGTACAGTGATACAGACAGCTTTGTGTTGGTAAAAAATCGGGGTTGTATAGTGATACATACAGCTTTTTGTGTTAGTAAAAAAATCAGTGTTGTACAGTGATACAGACAGCTTTATGCTAGTAAAAACATTCGGGGTTGTAGAGTGATACAGACAGCTTTGTGTTGGTAAAGAAATCGGGGTTGTAGAGTGATACAGACAGCTTTTTGTGTTAGTAAAAAATTGGGGTTGTACAGTGATACAGACAGCTTTGTGTTAGTTAAAAAATCGGTGTTGTACAGTGATACAGACAGCTTTGTGTTGGTAAAAAATCGGGGTTGTACAGTGATACAGACAGCTTTTTGTGTTAGTAAGAAATCGGTGTTGTACAGTGATACAGACAGCTTTGTGTTAGTAAAAAAATCGGCGTTTTACAGTGAAACAGACAGCTTTGTGCTAGTAAAAACATTCGGGGTTGTAGAGTGATACAGACAGCTTTGTGTTAGTAAAAAATCGGTGTTGTACAGTGATAAAGACAGCTTTGTGTTGGTAAAAAAATCGGGGTCGTACTGTGATACAGACAGCTTTGTGTTAGGAAAAAATCGGGGTTGTACTGTGATACAGACAGCTTTGTGTTAGGAAAAAATCGGGAAAAAATTTGAAAAAATCGGATCCATCAAAACCGGATCCAGCCCAAGATTCGGAATTTTTTGGATCCGATCCGGTGCCGGTTCTAGCTCGGATCCGGCGGATCCGGTAGTCCGATATCCGGATCCGACCATCACTAGTTTTTATTGCTCTTTAAGAACAGTATTAAATATTCTAAGGTATGTGAGGGTATTCAAAACCTGTATAAATTATGTGTACAAAGCTTTTTATAAATATCTTGCATTAAAAAACATTTCTTCTTACAGGCTTGCTAGAATGCTTCAGCGATATAAATTTGAAGAAGCCGAGAAATTCGCCAGAACATTCAACTTAGATCTGGAGATTGTTTATAAAGCTCACGTACAAAAACTAATGCAAGATCTCAAACCTTGGACAACGTCTTTGGACACTCAAAAACAGATATTTAATCACATATTGGACCTGATAAAAAATATTCAGGTAGAACTGAGGTCATATTCCTAATTTCTAGTCAACATAGTTATGATTTATAGTTAATAATCAAATCATGTAAACTCATTAAAAAAAAATTACAATTGTAAATTTTGTATTTACGATTGTAAATCTTTTATTTGAATTGTCGTTTATTAGTATATTTCATCACTAGGGCGTAAAGTGATTCTTTTTGACCCCAGCTCAAGTTTCCTCGGCTTCACCTCGGTCAAAAAATGAGTGATGGCTGAAAAAACACTTTATGCCTACGTGTGATGAACGATATTTTTCGTCACATTGCAACACTTAAAAATACAAATTTGAAATCAAAAATTACTTTTCATGCAAAATAACCTCTCAAAATGACTTCAAACTTTTAAAAAATTTCGCTAATGCAAATAAGCAGCTATTCAATAAGTGATTCAATCATTTAATCAATTACGGTTGTGTTACTGTACATTATAGTCTACTATCGATATGTCAAACTATCTATTAACATTAACAATAATGCAATAATAAGCTACGACCGACTAAATCAAAAGATAAACAATTTTTATACATGGGATTGGTTACAATTAGGGATGGACGGGATTGAATTTTTAGTTCGGGACGGGACGGGACGGGATTTTTATTTCCTTCCCGATTTTCGGGACGGGACGGGACGGGATTTTTTTCTGTGCATAAAAAGAAAGTACTGTATTGCAGTTACCAAAAAAGACATACGAAATCAATTTTTACCATTTGTGGCACTTATGACTTCGCGGTCACGGGGTTATCGTCGGTATGACTCCACGGTCACGGCGCGATCGTCGTCATGACTCGCGGTCACGGCACGATCGTCGGTATGACTCGCGGTCACGGGGTTATCGTCGGTATGACTCCACGGTCACGGCGCGATCGTCGTCATGACTCGCGGTCACGGCGCAATCGTCGGTATGACTCGCGGTCACGGCGCGATCGTCGGTATGACTTGCGGTCACGGCGCGATCGTCGGTATGACTCCGCGGTCACGGGGTTATCGTCGGTATGACTTGCGGTCACGGCGTGATCGTCGGTAGGACTCCGCGGTCACGGCGCGATCGTCGGTATGACTCGCGGTCACGGCGCGATCGTCGGTAGGACTCCGCGGTCACGGAGCGATCGTCGGTAGGACTCCGCGGTCACGGCACGATCGTCGGTATGACTCGCGGTCACGGCGCGGTCATCGGTAGGACTCCGCGGTCACGGCGTATTCGTCGAAATGACTTCGTCTCCTGCGTTCGCGGACCTATCGCTCGCAATAACGGCGTTATTGGCACTCGCGAAGCGGAAAAATCGCCGACGATCGGACCAAATCCCGTCCCGAAAAATTCCCGAGTCAAATGTTATCCCGTCCCGATAATCGGGAATATTTTTTTCCCGAAAAATTCCCGAAATTTCTGGACCCGTCCATCCCTAGTTAGTAGTTACAATCAAAGTTTACAACAGCTGATTTTTACTCCCTATGGAGTAAAAAAGCTACTTAAGACCGTAAACACAAGTACAGTCTGTTTAAATAATATGTTTGATGTGTATATAAGCTATTCTTCCTTAAGGCCAAGTCACACCAAGCTTGCTACCGTGGCGGGAGCGAATTTTTGAAAAATCGCTCACCATGTTATCAAATGTGTTCGGGACGGGATTTTATCCTGTGCATTAAAAGAAAGTATTGAGTATTGCAGTTACCAAACAAGACAAACAAAATCAATTTTTACTATTTGTGGCAGTGGCACTGATCTATAAAATCAAAAAATGGGTAAAAACTTACAGGTATAGAAACTTGTGATTCGCGGTCACGGCTGGATCGTCGGTATGACTCCGCAGTCACAGCGTGATCATTGGTATGACTCGCAGTCTTGGCGGGATCGTCCGTATAACTCCACGGTCACGGCACGAGGGTATGACTCCGCGGTCACGGGGTGATCGTCGGTATGACTCGCGGTCACGGCCCGATCGTCGGTATGACTCGCGGCTACTTTGCGATCGTCGGTATGACTCTGCAGTCACGGGGTGATCGTCGGTATAACTCGCGGTCACAGCGCGATCGTCGGTATGACTCGCGGCTACTTTGTGATCGTCGGTATAATTCTGCGGTCACGGGGTGATTATCGGTATGACTCGCGGTCACGGCATGATCATCGGTATAACTCCGCAATTACTTCGCCAACGTCGGTATGACTCTCGGTCACGGCGTGATCGTCGTTATGACTCCACGGTCACGGCGTGATCGTCGGTATGACTCCGCGGTCACGGCGTGATCATCGGTATGACTTCGCCTCCTGCGTTCGCAGAACTAGCGTGAACATCTCTCGCGATAGTGGCGTCATGGGCACTCGCTAAGCAGAAAAATTGGAATATTTTTTCCCCAAAAATTTCCCTAAATTTTGGGACCTGTCCATTCCTACTTTTTAATGTACCTATACTAACAAATAAATAAACTTTCAATTGCTTTTTAAACACTTGACTACTAAAAAAAAAAAATAATTTACATGGAATACTAAACAGGCAATATGTGTTTCTTATGTAAAACGAATTGTAATGAAATCATATCAAAACTCCCGCCGCGGACGCAAATTTTTGGTGTGACATGGCCTTTAGTTAAGTTTGTTAATATTGTTGACAATTTTATAAGTGTAGAACTTATTTACAGGATCACAACTTTGTAGCCGAGATCTGTGCTAGTGTCATTCCTCCAGATTTTGACATGTTACACACGATGCTCATGTACGGCACCGAGAGGTTCTCTAAAGTTGCAGATAAGGTATCAATTTGTATATTTGTGTTTTTCAACATCATGCATGTATATAGTAATTATATATACTAAATAGTAAATTTACCCACTTCAAAGCTATGTCATTAAATCAGCTTTGTATTTTAATTTTGTTTATTGTCTTAACTTCCTGAGGAAAAATTTAATAGATCATGCCAATCACAACAGTCTTCATCAGACCTAAAGATGAAATGAAACCAAAAACTAGAGTGTAGATGGGCAGAGTTATTACTAAGAACAGTGAAAATCTTTATGTGACAACTTATCTAATTATCAGCATTTTGTCATAAATTTAATAACTTTCTAATAATTTGGTGTAACTACTATAACTATACTTTGAAATCAATTGTAGACTTCTATATGCACAATTATTTTACAGTCTGGAGCTAACCTAAGCGAGTTGCTTGCCAAAGTGAGCTCGATTGCACGACGGCTTGACACATGTATGCTGATTCACGGAGCAACCACCAGCGTCGAGCATTGGATAGAGTTTCCTAAACACGACTTGGTCATAAGTTGCCTTAACCACATTAAAAGGGTATGTTAATCACTGATTGTATGAATATAATAAATAAAATACATCTTCTGCTTCCGACACTATCCACTATGTTTACACTTATTCTATAAACATTCACGAGACGGTGAACATATATAAAAAGTGTTACAATGGGATTGATTTTGGCCTGTCTGTCACCCGGTTACAGCTCTTCCTAGGCTATTAATTAATTTCATTTTTTACATTTATATTGAGGATTTGCCGATTTTCTTCTATATCTTCCAACGTGTGGCCAACATCGTGAACCTCCTTGTGGTTGTGTTCCTTTTTAACCCAATCTATACTTAAGTCCGCTGCAGCAAACCTGCAGACTAAGCAAATTTTCATTTGTCTGATTTTATTTTAACTTAATCTAGCCTATGTAACATCAAGTTTAATGAGTACCAAGGTTTGCTGCTACGTAATAAAGTAATAAATAAATAAGTAATAAATAAGTAGGTAATAAAGTGTGTTTTTGTAAAATAATAATAGCTCAGAATAAAATAAATAAATATGCCAAGTTTGATCAAAATATATCCATAAACAAGCAAAGTACAAGAATTTACTTATCTATCTATCTATATAGGGTGATTGGTACTCAGTGTGACAAAAATTTTTTGGTGTAAGTACAAAGTAAATGAAGTGTGATGATGCATATCAAATGTTCCAAGTCTAAAAATTAGCTTCCCAAAAAATTATTTTATGTTTTTAAAAAATAACCATGCTTTTAAACTTACAGCGATTTCTCAATTACTTGTATATGGATTTGAGTAGATAATGTCATTTTCGTGTTTTACATTAAATTTTGAACAAGAATAATAGAAAATGACGGAGGATCAGTTGTAAAAACTCCATTATAAATAGATTGAAAGATAGAAATTAAGACGTTTGATAAAAATTTAAAAAACAATGGTCTATTGCATTTTTCACACCCTTTATACAATAAAGTGTCGGAATATGATAAAAACTGCGCCATTTTATAAGCTTTCCAACCAAATGCTACACTATTGAGGTTTAGATATTTTTTTGTTTGTTTTAGTGGTTTGAATACCAGAAAACAGGGAACTTTTTTACTGTTTTTACTGTTCAAGCTGAAACAAAAATACAACTTTTTCTTAATACATGCCGACTTTCTATGTTTTAAATGTTAAAGACACCATTCTTTGTAGTCCTTATCTACTGAATTTATAATTGATTCAATAAAATCCATTCCAGCTGTTATTGTAGATTTATTCACAGCTGTCCAACATATCTGATGGAGCGTCCGCTATCCGCAACCTGCGACCCACCCAATACCTGAGGCTCGGTGGGCGTTAAAGCGTTTAGGGTTTTGCATGTACGGACACATATATATATATATATTATACTATATATATATCTACAAATCTGAACGAATAGTGTTTTTGGCCTGTGGGGACATCAAAATGAATATGTAAATCAGTCCCGGGACTAGGTCTTACTGTGCCGTGCCACCTACAGTAATAGCTACTTCCCTCTAGGAAAATTCGCACATTATACTACATACATCATCTTACTCCTTGTCAAGGATTGTTTGACAAGGTATGCTGTAAGTTGTTATAATTGTTTTACGTGACTAGGGTCAGATCAAAGAGGCTATCCTGGTGTGGGGTCGACACTTGAGTGACATGAAGCCGTTGTTTACTGAGGACAAGGCTCGCCAACTGCTAGCTGGTGTTCCGACATCCACACAGTTGGCAGACCTGCTACTGTGGCAACATCACTTCATCCCTCCCATACTGGCCATCTACCCCCACATGCTGGGCAGTGTGGTGCAGTGGTCTGTGCAGAGGGCTAGGTAAACAATAACACTATCTACACCTCAAAAAGGGCCATATGTATTCAAATTCTCTGTAATTATATTGTGTACAAAACATTTAATGAATAGTGTCAGCCTACAAGTTCTATGTAAAAATACCTTAACCCATAAAAATAAAATTTCCATAGCTTTGAATGTTCACAATTAATTCTCGTAGTCTACAGAATAAATGGGCTTTTCTACTAAACATTCTTTGAGCTTTTGTCAAAACTGTTTACAATAAATTATTAATGTATTTGATTTATTTGGGAATAAGATTTAGATACTTTAAACACCAGAGTAAGCGTGCTTATCTTTAAACATTTCAAGATTTTGTTTTGCTTAAACTATTATCATTTTTGTTTCTGGTTTTGTAGTGTGGGATTTAAACTGTAATTTAAATTTATACTGGTAATTTTTTTAAACTTATAACTAACACATTCCAACTTTGTACAAACCAAATAGCTTTAAAACTTTGTAATTGACAATTTTGTTGCTTAACAGACTAATAAATCTTTATCTAATCTATGTTTAGCATTATTCATATTATTTTCTGTAAAACTAGTATTTGTTTGAATTATTCTGGGAAATCCCACCATACGCTATTGCATGTCATAATGGATTGTGATCGGAAATGAGAGTGAAAATGTAGCCTACCATGATTATTGTTGTTTTTTAAGTCTTTGTTTATTAGTTTTTTTTCTAGATTGGCATAGTGACTGTCTAAGCATATATGTTTTCATACAAAACAATCATGCAAAAATCATTTGAATTCCCGTCTCCATGCTTGGTGGCAACTATCATCAGCAATATATAGATTAAATTGCCACTGATTCTAACCGGCTATAATACTAAAATTAATTAAAAAGAAAACTATCTTGTGCAGGTGTTAAGTTTATTTCTAGATTTCTTGTTAAACCAAAAAATGACTTATAGATGTTTAAGAAAAAGTATCCAAATTCAACACTCTGTTTTCTGTTTTAATTCTTCAAAGAGCTGTAAGTATGTTATGTTTTCCTTTTCCAGGATAAGCTCGTGAATTCTAAACCTACTCAGTATTCATTGAGTTAACCATCAAGGGTCCATTTATTGAAGACGTGGTCCTAAATATAAATTTCCTTTTTTGTAAACCTTTTTCATTTAAACTTAAACAAAGCAACTGGAACGTTTGAGGTTACAATGATTGAAATAAAAACACCATTTGGGGAATTAAATAAAACGCGGCCGGCTACATGGTTACGGTTTGCTGGAATCTTGAAGACTGGAGAGCAAGGAAACTTTTTGGATCGGCGGTTAAACGTGGAGGGAAAAGTGGCGTGATGGGTTGTAGCCAATCCGGGAGCTTTATTGAAATCATACGATATGACGTCACAGTCTCCTGATTGCAGTCAGGACACAAATGCAAAACATATTGCCAACTCTTTATAACACAAATCTAAATATCGTAAAAATGGCAACATTATGGTAAATTATTGTATTTACTACAGCAACTAAATTTGAATTTGGAAATTTAATTGGTCTGCAGGTTTCCTGTGTCAGTTTGTTGTTTGTTTCAGCAAAGGCCTGGAATGGTTAGATCCACGAGCGTGGCCAGACTCAGGTCTTACATTAGCTAAAGGATTGCTTCGTCTAGTCCATTCTGATGCCAGTGGGACACTTCCAGCCCAGAGGTATTCAACTCTCTTGTAATATGCTCTTATAGAAAACTAACAAAAGTAGTAATGAACATGTAGCGTCAGCTGATGTTGTCTTAGCAACGCATTATGATTATGGTTGTTATTGGTTATCTAGAAGAATGTACACTTTGTAACTCTTCTAATAAATTGATTTTTCTCTTACTTATTTAATCGTAGGTTTATTTGAACTACACAAACAACCACGACCAAATCACAATACTAATACTTCTTAAAATAACAATTTACTTTGGTTACTCCCATGTATTTATACCAGTTGCAGTTAAAATTAAACTCAAAGAGAACATAGGCCTACTTGTTTGAGCCGTTTGTGTAGTGTGCTAATATGGAAGTAATATTTTCTGTTTTGGTTTTCAATACTATGATTTCTTAACACAATAAAAACCATTTAACCAAATTAGCTGACATTTTTCTCCATGATGATTTACACCTCTATGAGGAGATTAATTTAGGTCTATAACCAGTATTATCTCAAACTAATGAGACCCTACAGTTTTCAAAATTTGTAGATGATGCTTTGGGATGTAAATGTTTGTTGGTATCCAATATAAAACTGCAATATTGGCATTTTTTTGTTTACTTTCACAAATGCTATCCATTAAACAGCTGATTCAAAATAATAAAATTAAATGTTCGTTTAAAATTAAGAACGGGGGGGTTTTTTCTGGAGGTACCACAAATTGTTACATTCTATGATCAGGGGCGAACCTATAATGTTTTTTAAGTAGTGTCAAAGGACTTTGTTGTTCAAGCTCCTGGCCAACCTGTTGATAAACTCAGGTGAAGTTACTTGTAAATGAAGCAATAAAAATTCAAATTTTAAACTGAGTTAACTAAGTATTGATGTTGATTATGTATGTAATTATCTCTTAGTCAGTTGATGTTACTTTACCTCTGCAGGTCGGCTTTGCAGAACATGAATCTGTCTCCACAGAGTCCTTTGAATCAACTCCTAGGATTGATCTTCACTCTTCAAGACATAAACCTACTGAAGCATCAGTACAACGTGTCTGTGCAGTATGACCAGTTTGTAGAGGTGGGTGGCTAAAACAAGGAGAGTAGCCTGCTTATCATCATAGTTCGTACCCAGAAAATACAAAATTATGTTTTCGGTGTAACTTTGTGTACGTAGGTCTAATTGGACTTTTTCCAAGCTAGCTGCTGCCATTTACTCTATAAATCTCTATAAATAACATGGCGACTTAATCGGTTTTACGAATTTCAGTGCGCTCCTGCTCAAGATGATCATCATTTTGTTCATCATGACATATAGATTTGGTAACATCCCAATTTGATTATTTATTAAATAAATGTCATTTTTAAAACCATATTACCAACAATTTTTAATGGCTATAATTTCTCATGTCAATAGGAGGATCACCATAGTTTTGTAATGGTGTTGCTTGAGAAGCTGCCATTAGAGAAGATCCCTTCATTCATGGAAGAATTCTTCCCCCGCTTAATGAAGAATAGAGGACTAGACCCAGATTTGCAGATTTTGCAGTTCATTAAGGTAATATAATAATCAGAATGTTGTGTTAAATTTATAGAGCAAGTAATTTGTTACATTCAGGAAACAAAGGTACTGGAAGGAAAATAAGACATGTTTCAGTTACAGTGATTAAACAATTTGTAGGTGTATACTTTATACTTATATACATACCCCTTTCCATTTGGTTATTGTTATTCCTTGCTCTGGGTATCATCCCTCTTTATCTTTTTTTGTTGTCATCTGTCTTCTCTTCTTACACCTCACTCCTCCACATCCCTCTTTATCTTTATTCGTTGCCATCTGTCTTCTCTTCTTAGACCTCACTCCTCCACATCCCTCTTTATCTTTATTCGTTGCCATCTGTCTTCTCTTCTTACACCTCACTCCTCCACATCAATCTTTGTCTTTTTTTGTTGTCATCTGTCTTCTCTTCTTACACCTCACTCCTCCACATCCCTCTTTATCTTTATTCGTTGCCATCTGTCTTCTCTTCTTAGACCTCACTCCTCCACATCCCTCTTTATCTTTATTCGTTGCCATCTGTCTTCTCTTCTTACACCTCACTCCTCCACATCCCTCTTTATCTTTATTCGTTGCCATCTGTCTTCTCTTCTTACACCTCACTCCTCCACATCCCTCTTTATCTTTATTCGTTGCCATCTGTCTTCTCTTCTTACACCTCACTCCTCCACATCAATCTTTATCTTTATTTGTTGCCATCTGTCTTCTCTTCTTACACCTCACTCCTCCACATCAATCTTTATCTTTATTTGTTGCCATCTGTCTTCTCTTCTTACACCTCACTCCTCCACATCAATCTTTATCTTTATTTGTTGCCATCTGTCTTCTCTTCTTACACCTCACTCCTCCACATCCCTCTTTATCTTTATTTGTTGCCATCTGTCTTCTCTTCTTACACCTCACTCCTCCACATCAATCTTTATCTTTATTTGTTGCCATCTGTCTTCTCTTCTTACACCTCACTCCTCCACATCAATCTTTATCTTTATTCGTTGCCATCTGTCTTCTCTTCTTACACCTCACTCCTCCACATCAACTTTATCTTTATTCGTTGCCATCTGTCTTCTCTTCTTACACCTCACTCCTCCACATCAATCTTTATCTTTATTCGTTGCCATCTGTCTTCTCTTCTTACACCTCACTCCTCCACATCCCTCTTTATCTTTATTCGTTGCCATCTGTCTTCTCTTCTTACACCTCACTCCTCCACATCAATCTTTATCTTTATTCGTTGCCATCTGTCTTCTCTTCTTACACCACACTCCTCTACATTAATCTTTATCTTTATTCGTTGCCATCTGTCTTCTCTTCTTAGACCTCACTCCTCCACATCCCTCTTTATCTTTATTCGTTGCCATCTGTCTTCTCTTCTTACACCTCACTCCTCCACATCCCTCTTTATCTTTATTCGTTGCCATCTGTCTTCTCTTCTTACACCTCACTCCTCCACATCAATCTTTATCTTTATTCGTTGCCATCTGTCTTCTCTTCTTACACCTCACTCCTCCACATCAATCTTTATCTTTATTCGTTGCCATCTGTCTTCTCTTCTTACACCTCACTCCTCCACATCAATCTTTATCTTTATTCGTTGCCATCTGTCTTCTCTTCTTACACCTCACTCCTCCACATCAATCTTTATCTTTATTCGTTGCCATCTGTCTTCTCTTCTTACACCTCACTCCTCCACATCAATCTTTATCTTTATTCGTTGCCATCTGTCTTCTCTTCTTACACCTCACTCCTCCACATCAATCTTTATCTTTATTCGTTGCCATCTGTCTTCTCTTCTTACACCTCACTCCTCCACATCAATCTTTATCTTTATTCGTTGCCATCTGTCTTCTCTTCTTACACCTCACTCCTCCACATCAATCTTTATCTTTATTAGTTGCCATCTGTCTTCTCTTCTTACACCTCACTCCTCCACATCAATCTTTCAATTTAAACTCTCTTTACATAAGAATTCTCTCTTCTCACATTCGTCTTAAACTTGCTTTTTATACTCTCCCCCTTAAACTTCTTCTACTTAACTACTTCTATTTTATCATTGATTCATAACACTATTCCATCTTGCTGTACTCTTGTCCACAAAAACATATCATTTCTCATGATTGTGTCCTGCTCTATTCTCTTTCTGAACCTGAATATTCAATACTTTTGTCCGATAAGCAACTATTGGCCAATAGTATGTCTGGCTGATGGATATGTTTTCCTTATTTTTTTCGCCTTTTAATTAGGCTTAATTGTAGGTGTATTGGCATGAAACAAATGATCAGGGTGTCTAGTAGTCGGGAAAATCGGGAAAGTCGGGAATTAGTATTGAATTTCAAAATGGTCTTGAAAGTCGGGATTTAGTCTTAAATTTGATTTCAAAGTCGGGAATTTTCATGATTTTGCCGCGATCGTCGTCTTGCGTTTACGTAACCGCAAAAGCCAATGATGATGTCTACACGGCCTCGGGAAATGTTCACGATTTTGCCGAGATAGTGGACGACGACGATGACGTTTCCGAAACCACGAAAGACGACTGTGACAGCGGGAGACTACGATGACGTATCCGTGACCGCGGTAGACGACGATGACGTTTCCGTGACCGCGGGAGACGACGATGATATCTGCTCGGCCGCGGGAAATGTTCATGAGTTTGTCGCAATCGCGGACGACGACGATGACGTTTCCGTGACCGCGGGAGATGACGATGACGTGTCCGTGACCGCGGGACATAGACATAGACATAGACATAGACATAGACATAGACTTTATTTGCACAAAACATTCCATACATGTCATAACATTTAGAATAGGTGCATTGTCAAAATTAAATCCATACATAAAATATTTAAAATTAAAACTTTTAACTTAAAACTAAACACTTAAAAAAAAAAAAAAAATTCTAAATTGTAGTTCTGTAAAAATCTTCAATTAAGTAAAAAGCCTTGTCAATAAGAAAATTATCTATTGTATCTTTAAATTTGGTTTTGCTTAGTGACTTATAGCATGGCGGAAGCACATTGTACAATCTCAGCCCAGCGTACAATGGAGATTTTTCATATAGGGTCAAACGGTGTCTGGGGAGTCTAAATATATTTTCATTTCGGGTTTCATACCTGTGATTAAAATTTATTGTTTCTGGTAGCTCATTTTTAACTGAATGTATGTAATTTAATAATTCTAGTATATACAACCCCGTTAATGTATGAATTCTTAAATTTTGAAAATGTTTCTTACAAGAACTGCGTGGATGAGAGTTGGTAATAATACGAATAATACGTTTTTGTAACCTGAATAAAGTTTTAATACCAGTAGCTTGACCCCATAAAATTATGCCATATCTTAACACTGACTCCACATAAGCATGATAAACTACTTTAAGTGTCTCAATAGAAACACAGTCCCTTAAATGTATGAATAAAGATGATATCGACCTAATTTTGTTACGTAAATAATTCAAATGTGAATCCCATTTAACTGCGTCATCTACGTAAACCCCTAAGAATTTATGAGCTTCAACTAAATTAAAGGAACAGTTTTCCATATTTTTGTGTCTAGTAGAAAATTTAATAATATTTGTTTTTTCAACATTAAGTTTTAACCCATTTTCTAAAAACCATTGCTCCATGTCCTTAACCACACTTTGCAGAGAAGAAAACATTTCAGTTGTATTATTATTTTTGATCAAAGCAGTAGTGTCATCGGCAAAAAGAATTAGTTCTTTATTAATAGCTTTTGGAAGATCATTAATGTAAATAAGAAAAAAAAGTGGGCCCAATACTGAGCCTTGGGGAACACCTGTGGATATAATTTTCCATGGTGAATAATGTTTGTTGTTATCTTCTAAAATTAAAGTTCTTTGTTTTCTTTCAGAAAGGTAAGATTGTATTAAAGAAAAGCAACTTCCCCCAATCCCATAATCAATAAGTTTTAGCAACAGGAGTGAGTGATCCACACAATCAAAAGCCTTAGACAGGTCACAGAAAACACCTGCTGTGGCCTGAGACCTGTCCAAGGCCTCTGCAATCTCATTAACAAACTGAGTAAGAGCAGAAACTGTGCTTAAGTTTTTTCGGAAACCAAATTGTTTATTGTAAAATAAATTATTACTTTCAAAATAATTAACTAGTCTATAACTTATTACTTTTTCAAATATTTTAGAAAAATTACTTAATACTGATACTGGACGGTAGTTATTAATATCTGATTTTGAACCTTTCTTAAAAACAGGAGAAATTTGGGAGTACTTGAGTTGATCCGGAAAAATACCATTCTTTAAACACTGATTTATAATAAGAGATAAGGGTTCGGAGATAATGTCAGCAGCAGATTTGATCAATTTAATTGGGATTTCGTCCCAGCCTACCGAAATTTTGTTCTTTAGAGAAAGGATAATCTTTTTTATTTCATCTTTATTAGTGGGGCTAAGATTGCACAATGTAACCCCACCATCACTGCAGTATGATTTTACAGACGAATGAACACCATTGACAGAACCCTTTTTTACATTCAGATTAATAACTGTATTACAGAAAAAACTGTTAAAAAGCTTAGCTACATCATCAGGATTATCAACAGTGGTTTGGTTTGTATTATCTTTTAAAATAATTTTGTATCTTTGAGTACAGTTTAAACCCAGTTCATTGTTAACAATTTGCCAAGCTGCCTTAGACTTGTTTTCAGATTTTCTAATTAGGTTATTATTTGAGAGAATTTTTGAATTTTTTACAACTTTATTAAATATTTTTTTGTATTGCTTTACATAGGATAAAAACTCTTGGTTTCTACTAAACTTGGCTTCCAAGTGCAATTCTCGTTTCCTCTTACTGGAAATTCTTATACCTTGGGTCACCCAATTCAGAGTAGATTTATTAGTTTTAGCATTCTTTTTTAGTGATTTAACAGGAAATATATGATTGAAAGATAATAAAAAATTTCTCAAAAAACTATTGTAATTTTCATTGGGGTTTAAAGCGGGGTTAAATACAAAATTATTATTAGTGCTC